ACTCTCATAATCTTATTAATTTCCACAATAACAACGATTATACTGATACTACGCAATATCAACACAAAAATTATTTTCTTTATAATAAATGTAATAATAGTAGATGTAAAACATGTCCAATGTTATATATAGAGCAATATGATAGTACGTCCAAATTTTTCTTATGTAAAACCTTCAATTGCATTTATATGTTGAATTGTAAATTATGTAATTTTAAATATATTTTCCAAACAAGTAATAATATTAATATTCGTATTAATCTACATAGATCAAATACCAAATTTACAAGCATAATAACCATATTAATAAAATTGAACTTAGGCACTCTTTCACTTACATGGCTTTGATAATATTGATATTTCTATTCTGAGAATAGTACCACATGTTCAAAAAAGATTGTGGTGGGAAAACCACTTTATTAATTATTATAACACTATATATCCATATGGTTTGAATACTATTAACTTTGGAATAAATGTTTTACTTGGCATTCAACATTCTGATAACAAGAATTATTTTTATAATAGTGATTTTACACATAAAGTTAAACGTATGAGAAGAGGTAAAAGGAAGAGGAGAACTCACATAGACTTCCAGTGGAGATAGATTCTAAAATTAATGATTTTTGCAGCAATTTTGAAGTCTTCTAACTTTAAACAAAATAAGCATTTCATGTTTGGTTTAAATAAAAAAGAAATTGAGTATACAAGAGATATCCTCAAAAAGTATGATTTTAAAGACTGTCATGCCTTACATATTATTAAGGTTATTGTTAATTTTCTTATTCATAAATTCAATATTGAAGACATAGATTTAGAAAATAGTTCTACTGAGTATTGTACCATATTTTTCATGAATAAATCTTATAATAACATTAATTTCTCAAAAATATTTAATAAATATGTTCATTGCCTGCCTATAACTACCGTTTGCATTAAGAAGGCATTTAAATACAATAAAAAAATAAGTAGCTCAATTTTTAATTACAATGATATTAATGATTTGCAAAATAATAATAATATTGTTTGTAACTGTAAAGATTATTCTGAATATATAAATGATCATCATAAGCATGTGGTAACTGGTAATTTAAATATAGTTAAAGATAATACTCTTAGAGATATAATGTCCAAAAAGGTACTACACACTGGTGTGCAAAACTTAAGCAACAGGTGGGTTTATTGCCATAACTTCACGAAAAATCATCTGAGAGACTTGAAATTCTGAAATGAGGAAGAGTATTATGTACGTAAAGGATGACGAAAGCATTGGCGCTGAAAAAGGAATACAACGCATACGGTATGGAATCAAACAAAAACAAGCTTTATTGAACGTATAGTATCGCGACTCATGATTGTCTATCCAACAGGAAGAACAACAAGCAGGTATTCCTTAATATGGTACATGTCCTCCCCTTACTACAATGGTTGCTTCGCACCGTCTCCGCATACTCAGAACCAGCTGGTGCAACATTTCTTGAGGTAGGAGTGCCCATTCCTCAATCAACATCTGTTTGAGTTGTTGGTTGTTCTCCGGATGATGTAAGCGTGTGGCAATAGGTCTCCCCAAAGCATCCCACACATGTTCGATGGGATTTAAATCTGGGGAGCACCCTGGCCAATCCATTCGAGTGATATCTTCACTTTCCAGTAGCTCCTCAACAGCAAGAGTGCGATGTGGCCGTGCATTGTCATCCATAAAAATGAAGTCTGGGCCAATGGCACTTCGGAAAAGACGCACATGGGGAAGAAGTACCTTCTCACAATAGCGATCCCCGGTTACAGACCCTCTGTCGAAAATGTGAAGCTCAGTTCGCCCGTTCAGCATAATGCCTCCCCAGACAAGAACTTCAGGACCACCGTAACGGTGTCTTTCCTTGATGTTACTGGATAAAACCGGGTCCCGATCTCTCTCCAAATCAAAACGCGTTGAGAATCGCTTCTGTTACTGAACCGACTCTCATCCGTAAAGAGGACACGACTCAATTGATCAGTTGTCCAGTTTTTGTGCTCTCTGGCCCACTGTAAACGGTGGCTTCGGTGGCCAACTTTCAACAGGAGGCAGCATTCAGGACGGCGGGTGAACAGGCCCCTTTGTGAAGGAGTCTGGCCACAGTAAACCGCGACACTTGTCGACCCGTTGCTGTACAGAGTTTCTGAGCAATGGCGCTTTCTGACTGCTTTTGACCTCTTTCCACCTGCAGGATGATATATCGGTCATCCCCTGCAGTTGTCGTCCTCGGGCGGCCACACCAACCTTTCTAACAGCTGTTCCTGTGGTTTGGAACGCTTTCCAAGCGCGCGAAACGACACTTTTGTTGATTCCGAACTGTGCAGCTACACTGGTGACAGTACGCCCCTCCTCCAGCTTTCCGATCATTCTTCCACGTGTGAAGTCGTCCAGGTGATTTCTTCTAGCCATATTTCACGAACTGACTCACTGGCACTTGCAGCGAATATGTTGAATTGCGTCTCCGTCCTTCATTTTATTCTACTGTTGAGCAGTGCGCGCCGACATCACGCGTTTTGCGTACGCTCACATCGCTTCTGACGTTTTTTTCCTGATATTTGCATACGCATGACGTTTCTACTGACTTATTTGTTCACTGTACTGATCTCCAGACCTCCTTTTCTGCAATTTCATGGCTATCTGCTAAATTTTTACATTGTTGCTTAAGTTTTGCACACCAGTGTAGTTTTAGATTAATGGTTTCTAATAATAACAATGCTATTAAAAATCAAATTTCTAAAGATATTAGTAACTTCATTACAAAATTAGCTATTAAATACAGTCTTCCTATTGTAGCTTTTAATGAATTTAAATGCAAAGTATATTAAATGATCTATTGAACATTAACTATAAAACTGAGAGATAATGATATAACTTACAATAATATTAAGAACCAAATTGCAGAGCTACAAAAGAACTTTATCATTGTTTATATTGATAAAGTACCGGGTAGTTATGCAATTATTTGCAAATGGCTTTATACTAATATGCTAAAAATTTTCATGATAATTCTGCTTTTGTAAAATCTAATTCAAGCAATAGATAACTTTTTTATCGAATCTCTGCTTTTTATAAAAAAATAGATTTACGTATTTTGGGTATTAAATTCCCTCATATTTTCCTAACTCTTAAATTTCATAAAATTCCTGTTAAGTTTAGAACTATTACGAATGGTTTTAAAACTTATACTACACTTACGGGCAAAAAGCTGCAAAATATTATTCAATCTACATTAGACAAAATTGATAATTCTATTATTGTTAAGAACAGTATGGACATTATTAAGTATATGCAAGATAAAAAAAAATTATTTCTTTGTATACCTATGATTTTGAAGATTTATTTAACTCCATAGATATAGAAGACATGTTTAAGATTCTTAAAATAGCATATAGCAAATATTTTTTAAATAGGATTATAAAATATGATAAATATATTTCTATTACTGAATTAGTATTAAAAGAAACTTATACTTTCCATAATAACGCTTATTATCAGCAAATTAAAGGTTTACCACAAGGGGGACCAGCTAGCAACTGCCTAGCAAATATTTACTTGCATTTTTATGAAAATGAAAGAATTAGTTATGTATCTTGTTAATTGTTTAGATACATAGATGACTTAATTATATTTAGTAGTATAGTAGACTTTGTTCCTAACCTTAATTATTATCCCCACTATTTAAAATTAGTAAAAACTAATTATAACAATGAGTCAGCTAACTTTTGGATCTTCAATAAAGGTTAAGAATAATTTGCTATTAAGTAATATTTATGATAAAGAGACTCATTTGATTCTAACATTATAAAAATGCCTTTTTGGGGTAGTAACCTTCACCTATCAATATTTAGAAATATTATCTTAAATTTTATAAAAAGAAACAATGATTTAGTTACTGATAACATTTTAAAACAAAGTAATTATGTGAAATTTTTGCAATAATTGTTTAGAATACAATTATCCAAGTAAATATATTTATAAATATATTTCTATTTCTAATTAAATCCATTTTTATCTTAGTTCAATATTCTATTTAGAATTCCTTCTATTTAGTTTATTTTAAAAAAAAATTAAGCGCTTATTTTATATGCAGTATATCAATTAGTATATAATCATCCAAGTATATTTACTTTGTAATATATTTCTATTTGATATTATCTATTATTAACTTTGTTCATTATTTTATTTAAATCTTCCTTTATTTAGTTTATTTTTAAAAAAATCCTAGTGGTTTGTTTAATTGCAAAATAACTATTCAAGTGGCGCCACGGTTTTTTCCTTCTCGTATAGTCAATTCAATCTTTTACGTCATTTCGCGTGGGGATCTTATTGTAGAAGGTTGAACTTTCGATTTCCAGTATTTAATTTACATGTAAGTTTTTTTTCCTAATTTTTTCCATATAATTTTTTTTTCTCTCCTTGAGACATTCATTAATGTTCTCTTTTCTTAACATCATTTTTATATATTATCAGGTTTTTCTTCCACGTGTTGTATTAGACTTAACGTTTCAACTTAATGTTTTTTCCCTATTATGTCGAAAGTTTCTGCTGTACGTGGAAGGTTGGATCCATAAAGCATTGCTAACCCTAATTCGCTAGCCTAATTCAGCGACAACTTTAGAAATCATAATAGGTCTCCAGTTTAGTCCAAAGACTTTTTTATATCTACTTTTATTGTGTCTGGTGAATTCCAATTTTTTCCTTCTTTAGCACTGTAGGTTCTAGTACTTCTTCCCTTTTATTTTATTTTACTATATATGTATATGTATATATATATATAATCTTGTGCAAATTTTCAATTGTTAATAAAATACGTTCTATTCATCCATTCAAGTTCAAATGCATTTTCTTAAACTTGTAGTGGATGACACTTGATGTTAATATAGTTTTTTCAAATATTAATTCATTCACTAAATTAAAAAAATGAATAATTAGTAACAAGCAAAAATAATAGCTCAACATCATATATAGAAAGGAAAATAGTTCGCTGTGTCACTGTAACGCAAAGGATAGCGCATTGGACTTCTCATACAAAGGTTGTGGTTTCGATTACCACGTGGGATGGCCTAATTTCTGGGAATGTGATTTCTTTTTACTGTGCTAGTTTATTGGAATAATTTAAATGTAATGAATGAATTAATAGTAACAAACAAGAAAAAAATTTATCCAACACCCTATATAGAGAGGAAAATGGAAAATAGCAAGGAAAATCGCTTTCTATTTTGCCACTTAATATTATGATTCTATCATGTATATACATATTTATATTAATTGTAATTTTTTAATAAAAAGTAACTAAAATATGAAATTGTTCTTTGTTGACCTAATTAGGAATTGACTTTAAATTTTTTTTTATATTACTTGTATTTGCTTATATTACTGGGCTTTAATGAAATAAGATTTAAGAATATAATTAAAATTAATCCTAGTAGTATCCATAATATCCAAAAGAAATATATTAACGGTTTTTACAAGTAATAACTTTAAAAAAATCTAAAATCAGTTCACAAAATTTAATCATTAACACAGTGCTTATCAATCTTTCAATACTTGTGACCAAATTTTCTATCATTATTTTCATCGCCCCCAGATACTATCAGTGTATTGACTGCAAAAAAAATGTACTTTGACGGTAAAGCTACTATATATATACGACTTTAATTATAAATCATACAAATTATCAAGATAAGTATTAAATTTTGTATATGACACAAGCCCATGAAAGGTACTAGTAATTATTAAACTTGTTTTTAATTTAGTATTGATATTTTAATTATCAAAATCATTGTATAGTACTGATACATTTAAAAGTATATTATACCAGTGTAAATGTATATTTAATTTTTATTATGTCAGAATGTATTTTGTTTTGCTTCCTTTCAGTAAATTAATATTTATTTTAAATATTTTATTTTCGACTTTTCAATTTGCTCGCACCCCTCCCCCCATATGGATATTACGCCCCCTTTGGGGCGCGCCCCACAGTTTGAAAAATGCTGCGTTAACATCAAAAATTATAACAATATTCAAACTTCCTTCTAAAGATGGTAGAAGAGGGGTCCTGTTCACAGTGTCGAGTTCAAAATTGTGGATGTTTGGTTAGGAGTCATGTACCGTCCTAGTCACTAGACCATCGTCCAAAATTAAGATCTCCGTTTGTGTTACTTTACAACGGGACTTAAATTAAAATCAAAATTAAATCCCTATCAAAAATTAAAACAATACAGATCACAGAGTAACATTTAAGAAATAATTTTTCGTAAATACTCTGCAAAAAAAAAAAAAAGTTATATTTAAAAAACATAAAAACAATTCATAAAATGTGAATAATTTGTTATGAAAGGGAAAGTGCATAGAAAAACTGAAATGAATAAACTACAAGTATGATATATATAATGAGATTTAAGTGTTCAGGACACACAAAATATGTAAACAGAATAGTATAATATTGGAAGCAAAATCCAACAAATATTCAAAACTATCTGTTTCGTCTTTTGATTTAATTACTTTTCCTCTGACCGTGACATATTTTTTTTTCCATCTTGAATTTTAAATCCAGCAAAAGCAATAAGTTCGGTTGTCATAGTCATTTACATATTCCTATCTTTTAAATATGGGAAACCTTTTCTATGCGGGAGAATTCTTTATTTTTCACGCAAAGATAACTCCTTTGTGTTATCGTTTCTTATTTGCACGAAACGCAGCTTCAAATCTGAACAGACTTCGATAGCCAAAAGAAGACTCAGGAATTTCGAAGGGAGGAAAGAAAAAAATAATAAATGGCTGTTAAAAGGATTATTCAAAGAACCCATAGTTCACTTTCAGTCCAAAGATAAGTGAGGCTTCAGAGCGTCACGAAAAGCAATTTTCGTTTCCCACATTTTTTTCACCGGCTGCCGTTACCAGCACAAGTCACAATACTTGGCAATTTCAGACAAGAATAGTCTGATATCTTTTATTCTTTACCGCAGACGCGATATAAGTCGAAAATTATAGTTCACTTTTAATGGTAGCTTCTACATTTCTTGCTGTTTTATACGAATCTTATTTATATGTTTTTTGTGATTGAATGTGTGTCATTCACTGCGGGAAATGTACTATTTTTTTTTGTACGGATTTGAATAAAAGAACTTAAAAGCCTTTTTCATGGAACAAACCCACACAATTCGATTTTTCTTTCTTCCTTCGTACTGAAAATTCCATCATTAAAAAGTAATGTAGTAGATCTTTGAAAACATTCTTATTTAACGCAAAAAAAATTGTGCACTCTTAAGTTTTCTGAAAATCTCGAAATATATATATATATATATATTGATAGGTTTAGTTGCTTTAAAATAATATATATCAAATTAAGAAATAAATTACTTACTTTTGATCTTGAAAATAACAGCATTTTAAATCACATAATCTGTTGAGTTAATTCAGCGTAGAATTATTATGATTTTTATTTGGGGAATTGAATAAATTTCTAACTGAATAATTTGGATGCTGTAAATGTTATAACATTCGTATTGTATTTAGTACAACTATTGTTTTCAGAAAATTACCAAATATTCAGATTCTTCAAATTTACTATAGAACATAATTCTATTTTGCAATCAAAAAATTTTAAACTTATTATGTGATGAAATAAACGATTCAATTGCTTTTAACCCCTTGTTCAAGAAAATCATTATTCTTAATTATACACAGTTCCCTTAACCATTTAATTAGTTTAGTTGAATTTGCTTAACCTTTTGGCAGGAAATACACTGCTGGTCACCGTAAATGCAACACCCTGAAAAAAGCATGCAAATAACATTAAATTTACAACATGCATTAGCGGAGGTGAGATATGCAAATGATTAGAATTTCAGCGCAAACACACATCACGCGCGTCTGTGACGCCACCTCAAATCGCTATTTAAGGCCTGGAGATTTTGACGATTTCAAGTTCGGCAATTGTATTTTTCTTGTGGTTTTTCAATAAACGATCAGTTATGTCTCGTAGTAAACAGCGATCAGCTTTTGATCAAGCATTCGAGTTCGACACAGGAAGGATAGTGGCCTACCGAGATTGTGGATTATCTTTCAGGGAAATCGGTAGTTGTTTTGGTCGAATCCAAACAACTGTAATGCGGATATGGACCGTTGGATACAAGAGGGTACGACGGACCGACGTGGTCGATCGCACCCACTCAGTGCACTACTTCACGTGAGGACAGGCAAACTGTGCGCATGGCAGTGACGGATCGCTCAGTCACATCACGAGCCATAGCACAGCACATTGAGTTTGTAACGCATCATTCAGCGTCTGCGCGTACCATTCGACACCGTTTACAGCAGAGTGGTCTGTCCGCAAGACGTCCATTGCTTGGTCTACCCTTCGCGCAGAACCACAGACGTCTCCGCCACCAATAGTGCGATGAAAAAAGGATGTGAGTGGCAGAATGGAATGAAGTTGTCTTTACTGACGAGTCACGCATCTGTCTGTAACACCACGATGGTCGGATTCGAGTCTGGAGACACCGTGGAGAGGATGCTGAACAGCTGCGTTATGCACCGCCACACTGGTCCTGCACCCGGTATTATGGTATGGCGCGGTATTGGATTTCACTCTCGCACTCCTCTAGTACGCATTGCTGGTACTTTAAACAGCCAGCGCTACATCTCCGAGGTGTTGGAGCCAGTTGTCCTTCCTTACCTTCAGGGCTTGGCCACAGCTATATTTCAACAGGATAATGCACGACCACACGTGGCACTTATTGTCCAAAGGTTCTTCGTCAATCATCAGATTGAATTGCTTCCCTGGCCGGCTCGCTCTCCGGATCTTTCGCCGATAGAAAACATGTGGTCCATGGTTGTTGTTTACATGAGTGTTCTTTTTATAGATCTCTGAGACTAATATCGTCTTGGTGTCGGAGAAAGAAAAGATGGGGGAACATCAAAGCCGTTTTCAGAATCGACTCGTATCCGTTCTCCCTCACGTATGAGAGAATAAAACTGGCCTTTTTTGGAAGATACATTGTCCCATCTGGACATCCTGTCACCCTGTTCATCAAACTTGACGAGTATTCGACTAATGAGCCGACGTCACACCTTCATGGAGTTGGTATGTCGAGATTCAGTCAAAACACTTATATTCACACATGGAGAGAACCAAGGACCCGGTAACATCTCTGCAACATAATGGAAGTGAACCACTACAGAGATGTTAAGCGAACCGAGCTCGGGTCGGAAGATAGCAATAAGGTGTGTTGATGCTAGTTTGAGTGATAAGAATTGTATTTTGAATGGAACTGGGCATAGAGCAAAAGGAACCAAATGAAGGTAGCCGTGCTTTAGCCTTTCTTCATATACGCTTGTTAAGTATATTGTTACGAATTTTGTGTAAAATAGTCAATAATTAGTATTTGGATGTGTAATGCCTTTATATATATATATCTTACTCTAAATTAGATTTAATTTAGGTTAAAATTGTAATATTCGCAAACAAACGCCGTGGTAATTCAATGGGAATTTGGCGAAATCTTGGCGATAGAGCCAAGTTGACATTATCTTTGGCGACCATTTTGGTGACTTGGTGATCATGTTGACGACCCTTTTTGGCGAGTTCGGAACCCTGTGGATTCTTCTAGAAATTAGTAGAGAAATCCACTAATTTCAAGATCTAAGACACAAGCGGGTCTTTCTCGAATTATCCGCGAGGAATATATAAATACAGAAAGAACTCACCAAAAGTCTTGTTAGCCTGGTTTTGACTAGTGATCAGTTAGTATTGCTCTGATTGTTGAAGCGAGTAGTGATTACTTCGGCTGTTGAAAGAGCGATTGCTTGTGAATAATCTTTTATATACGTGTATTTTAGACACCGATAATTGAGTCTTAGTACTGTTGAAGGTATAAAGACCTGAGATTTATTCTGTGAATATTGCTACTGAATTCTGTATTTCAAGGATTGGATTTTCGACAATAAATTCTCATCGCTCTTAAAGAATTGTCTTGTTCTTTGCGACTGATTGGCATAAATATTGGATCTACGTAACAATATTTAATATTCGCTGTTGTGGATTAGAGTTAGCTTGC